GTCGGGGAAGACACCGGCAGGAAGTGAAACTGGAAGGGGTCTTCCATCTAGACATGAGTAAAGAAAAATACCAGAGAACTTTATGCTAGATCCAAATAAAAATATCAGGATTGGTGATCCCCAGGATTGGTTGCTCCAGGCCCAGCCAGGACTATAAACTTCTGGAATAACCTTGACTGGTGCCAAGATCTTCCCTACCACACATTTGCTAACTCACTGCCTACCCACTGTCAACGGAGAGAAGCCTGGTCCCTGACATTGACTCCCGCCGATGCTGTCAGTCTCAGTCTACCCAACCTTCAATCACAGGTGCATATAGCTGAAGCAAGAGCTTAGCATGAACCAGACATGGTGCAAAGTGCTAGAAATTAAAAAAAATGGAAGAATCCAGTCCCTGATCGCAAGAAAGCTCACTTTAGGTGGCCATCCTGCCCCCAAGGAAATGTAGATTTCAACAGGGATCAAAGGCTTGATCTGAAGGCTCATATTCAGTATTGTAAGGGGCACAGTTGCCCTCCAGTGTTAGCTCTGTAATGAAGCTCGTGACAGAAAGTGAAGGCGAAGGGAATCAGCCCAATTAGTACAGAATTTCACACATTTGAGGTTCCCATTCCTGTGTCCCTTTGACCCCTCTTTGTAGCTCAGACCTAGTAGCTTATCGTAGTTTCTCCACACAGAGGAATGAGAGCATCCATCCAAGGGCTAGAAGGAGGCCTATGGACCCAAGGGTAGGTATATGGCGGATCTCTCAGAAATTTCCAGCACTAAATACTTTCATGTATATTTCACCACAATGAAAGAAAAAACCTGATATACTTTCTCTTTTACCTTAAAAACCCAAAATAATTTACAAAAAGACAACAATTCCTTTATTTTGAAGTATAATTATACAGATTATTTTAAAACAATACACCCAGTAGATATGATACCAGGGTTTATGTGCATAATTTTAGAAGCTTTGAATCTATTAACTTTATTCTGAGATCCAGGTATGTGTCTTTAGAGAATATGCTTCAGCCAGTAGTATTACTAGCTTCTGAGGATGGAAGAATGTTTCTAGGCTCGATTAAAAAAAAAAAATCACCATGATGTAATTCTAGATTTTTTTCCCCTTTAGACATCATTTGGTCACCATAGTAACAGGATGTTTTACTACCAGACATCTATACAGCACAAGGGACGGGCAAGCAATTACTTAATGGGTTATTTGGGGGCACAGAATGTAACTATTGGCACAATTCAGTGTGAAATCTGTACTTCACTACAGACCTCTTTAAGCAAGCCAAGCTGACTCAACCTTCCAGAAAGGTCAGTGGAACATTCCAGAGGTAGCCAAACTGGCTGTAGGCAGCATTCGCAATAGGTGGAACAGAAAGGCAGACTTTTCAGCGCTTAAGAGCATGGACTTCTCGGTTCCAAAGCCTGACTGGACTTGCTATGTGACCTTGGGAAAGTTCCCTAACTTCTCTGTGCCTCAGCTGCTTCATCCCTAAAATGGGAGTAATAACACCGCCCTGATCAGGTTGTTGTAAACACCGAGGGAATGGTTATCTGTGCTTAAAACCATGCATTTTACATAGCGAGAACTTTGTGAAGTATTTGTTAGCGATGGAAGAACATTTAAATTTGTAAACTCCCCTCTTTGTACTGGGTAGCAATGATCAAAGATGCCAAGAATTTCGGTGCCTGCCAGATTATTTTAGCCTGTGATTTCCGTGGATTCCTTTGATTTCCAGGGGGGGGGGGGGGGGCTCTTGGCAGCAGTTTATAGGATTTGGAATTCCAGGGTCTCAGCTATCCTGAAACAGAGCTGGGAGCAATCACAGGCATTCTTGGGAGCAGGCACATTGGGAGGAGGACGGCACAGCACAAAAGCACAGCATGCCTGCCCACTCAGGCTCTCTAAGCCACTGCCACCTACCTCGGAGAACAAGGGCATGGGCGAAGGCAAGGCTTTTATTTCCGTGAAAATGTAATCTAGTTGGTTTCTGTGATAATTTTTTTCTCTTTCTAGTATTAGGGGGGAAAATCATTTTCATCAATGAACGCTTTGTTTTATTCATTATCATATATACAATGAATCATCTTCAACAGACACTCAGGTCAATTATTCATTTTAACAGAACTACCTAGGCATTTTTTCTGGACCTGGGACAAATCTAAAAGCCCCTAACTAGCATATAAGTCAGGGCAAAAATCTCCCGATGCTTTAGGAGGGTGGGGAAAGGTATTACGTCTGCTGAGCCAAAATTCCGTGGGGATCTTTATCACATACCTTCATCGGGACTTGATTTGGGAGTCAGTCTCCTTGGGTCTTCTGCATCAGTGGTAAGCCTTGCACAGGAGTTTCGAGAATGCCATGAGCCACCAGGAAAGCACATTCATATCTGTCGTCTGCCTTCCCCTGGATGCACGCCTCCTTCCTGGTACGAAGAGAAGATGACGCTGTTCAGGGTGGCCTGTTAAACCATCTTCCCGCCCCCAGCCCCACTCTCTTGGTGCCCCTCCTTTCTCCTTTCCAAGGCTCTGGAATGTGTCACATGGGAAATGGATCATGTGGCTGAAGGGGGAAATTGTGGCCATCTTCTCTCTCCCAGCCCCCACTTTTCCGTTCAGGAGCAAAGCAGCAGAAATCTCCGACCTGATTGGCTCTGACCAAAATCTCCATCTGAAAAAGGAAAGATTCAGCAGCCACCAAGCCTCCAGACTTCTCCACTTTCTGCTCTCCCCGCCCCCCACCCACCCACCCAACACCTGAAGGTTTTATGCTTGGCATTCAGAACTGTTCCGTGTGGAAAGGAAATGATGCTTTCCCCTCCCCCCCTCTCTCTCTTCAGGACCCAGGAATGGGAAGGTGTTCCTTCATGGCCCTCCAGAGCCCCCACTGGGACAAGGGAGTCTTCAGCACCACGGACAGCATTGCACCCCCTCCAATGTTCCTTAGTCGTTGGTCTACTTTAAAGTTTGAATATTTTAAAAATATCTCCTCAGGTTTGGGGCCAAAGTAAATATCAGGCCATATTATCAAGGGCTTTGATTTTCCCTCCTATCAATTTCCTGCTACCTTATAAACACACACAAAAAGAGCTTTTAAATCCACCCCATACGCTATCTGCCTGTCCCTGCCTCTGCAACCCCGCCCCACCCCCACCCCTCCGCTCCCCCCTCCCTTTCATAGGCTCTATATTTTTTGGAGAAAGGAGTCTCACAACATAGCTTCATATGTGCCCATAGAGCTATGCATCCACAGCAATATGCCGGGGTTTTTTGGTGGAGATACATATTTAAATATCTTTAGTCCCATCCCTTGGCCTGGAGCTGTGTTGAATTAGGCAGAGAGGGAGATTGGCTAGAGCTCTTTTGTGTGGGGTCTACCCTGTTCTGCTGACGTCCCAGTTGCCATGGTGCTAGGTAACTGCTGAAAGGGAAGATTTCTTTCAAAACCGGTCATCACGAGGCCCTGCTAATTCAAAAAAGGAAAAGGAAAATGAACACAATTTCTGAGGGTTTTCAGAGCCAACTTCACCTAATGGGCCCTTTCATTACTAAGTTGTTGCTGACCTTGTATCTTGAAAGGGTTCTAGGAATTCATATGGACACTGCAATGGGAACTCCCTCCTGTCCTCCACTGCTGCTTTCCTTAAGAACCTTGGTAGGTGCAACCGAATTAAAGTACCTGCTTCATAGAAAGGCCATGAGTTCTATCCCAGAGCTCAGAGTTGGGGGAAGAACCCAGGAAACAGCTCTCCTTTGGTTCCGACGTGTGCCTTTGGGAAGTCACCCTCTGAATCTTAACAACCTGGAGTGGGAGATGCTTTAGGACCACACCTGCTGTTGGATACTAGGGACAATTTATAAAAGAGTTAAAATTTTTAAGGGAGAAAGGAGAAATATTTTGTTTTTTAAAATAGGAATTGATAAATTACTTTAAATAAGTATAAACCTCATTAAGAAAGTCAGCCCCTTGGCTAGCATTTGGACTCTCTCAACTTGGGATTCTAAACCAGCCAGGTGTTTGTCTCAAACCCCTCACAACTGTTTCCAGGTGTCCTGACCAAAGCCATTCTGAATCTGTATCACGAGGGGGAGATGCGGACTTGCACTGTGCAGTAACGGACTCGGCAAGAAGAGGCACAGCATGGGGGAGGCTAGAGGGAATTCCTAGAAAGTGAAGCTCCTTCCTGGCTCACTCATACATAATTTAAGACAGAGTTTCTATTTTAATTTTAGGGGAAGGGTGAGGTCAATTCTAGTTCTTCTATATAATAGGACTCACACAGAAATTAAGCTTTGCTCATGCTAACCCTTGTCACTTTCAGAAAACTTGAGGCAAAGTCTCAGGGGCAGCAGGCTGGTCCCTCAGATACGATCTCTACTCCAGGTCAATCATCATCATCATCACAACAGCTGCCATTGAATATGCGCCAGGTATCTGCATAGATGATGTCATGTAATCTCCCCATCAAAACAATAAGGAGCCCTGTTGGTGTAGTAGGTTACTTCTTGGGCTGCTAACCAAAAGGCCAGCAGTTTGAAACCACCAGCCACTCTACAGGAGCAAGATGGCGGCTTCCACTCCCATAAAGACTTACAGCCTCAGAAAACCACAGGGGCGCTTCAACTCCGACAGAGTCACTAAGAGTCAGAATCCACTCTACGGCAATGAGTTTTGTTTGGCTCAAACCCAATGAGATCAAAGGTACTTATTACCATGATTAACATTTGTTTTACAGCTGTGGAAATTGAGGCTCAGAGAGGTTATGTATTCAAGGCTGCAGGCTAGAATGAGCACCAGGATTTGGAACCATCTACCGTGGCTCAAGAGTAGGCATCGTGAGCAACAGGCTACACTAGAAGCGTCAGTTGATTTAATATGACATGGGCTACTAACCACAAGGCCAGCAGTTCGAAACCACTAGCCACTCCTTGGGAGAAAGATGAGGCTTTTTATTCCCATAAAGAGTTAGAGTTGTTCCGGCGCTGACGACCGCCCGGCGATCATGCCTCTCGCAATGGATCTCCTTCATCCCTCTCCTGAAGAGGAGAAGAGGAAACACAAGAAGAAGCGCCTGGCGCAGAGCCCCGATTCCTACTTCACGGGTGTCAAAGGCCCAGGCTGCTATAAAATCACCACGGTCTTCGGCCAGGCACAAACAGTCGTTTCGTGTGTTGGCTGCTCTGCTGTCCTCTGTCAGCCTACAGGAGGAGAAGCAAGGTTCACGGAAGGATGCTCCTTCAGACGGAAGCAGCACTAAAAGACCCTGAATCGAGATGAGTGGGAAGCCATTCTAATAAACCCATTTTGGATACAAGAAAAGAAAAGAGTCTAGGAACCCCACAGGCATAGTTCTAGCCTGTCCTAGAGGGTCACTATGAGTCGGCATCCACTTGATGACAAGGAGTTTGTTTGTTGTTTGTTGTTGAGTTTGGGGGAGGCACCAGTATAGCCTTTTAAAAGGAGAAATTACAAAAATTGCTTTATGTCAAGCCAGGGGGGAAAAAAGGCCCTGTTGTTCATTTCTATTTCTATTTCATCTATTTCTATTTCTATGTATGCATGTATGATCATGGTTAACTGATAAAACAATATGACATGAAGCCATATCCAGAATATTATTAAGGAGGGCTAGGAAACACATTATCTAACAGAATAATTTGGTCTTTAAAATATTCAATTTGGACCACCTGGCCACTTAAAGGTATAGCTGTCTCCTATCCAAGTCCAGAAACCCCATAACATTTGGTAGCTGGAGTGATATTTTGAAAATGATTGATGCGATTTTTCCCTCTCTTTTGCCCAGTGTGTGTGTGTGGGGGGGCTATTTGGCATGGGGATGGGATGGGCTATTACCAAAAATTGGAAGAAAAAGAAGAAATTGATATTTAGATTCTGAAATTCAAAATAAAAGTGTACAGAAAACAAGGAACTTTACATTCAGGCTGTTGTCTTGAAAGCCCTTTGCTGGAGTCTCTTACTTCTGCCTTTGGCCAGTCATCAAGCAAGCTCTGAAGACTCCACTGAGAGCGCTGTGTGGGGCATAGCAGCAGCAGCACACCAAGGCACGCCAAAACACCCTCCCAGGGTCCCGGAGCATGAGGACGTTGCATGGAAAGCAGCTTTTCTTCCATTTTACCACAGAGCACTGAACCTTTTATCTACCTTCACCTTGAATCCTACAGTGGTAAATTATCTACATTTAACAGCCTCTGGGGACCAAACAGACCTGGTGGTATAGTGGTCACACATTGGCCTGCTGACTACAATGTCAGTAGTTTGAAACCACCAGCTACTCTGTGGGTGAAAGATGAGGTTTTCTGTTCCTGTAAAGCATTAGTCTTGGGAACCCACATGGGCAGTTTTACCCTGTCCAACAGCCCCGCTGAGGCGGCATTAACCTGATAGCAGTGAGTTTGAAAGAGGGCACCAAACAAAGGACAACGGAAAATACTGGGGATGGTATTGAAAATGTGAATGGCTGCAGTCATTGAGTTTAAAAGCCTTCTGACAACCAGCTTCCCAAATAGGAGCAGCCATCTAAGGAGCCATGATTGGTCTCTCCCTGTCCAGAAGGAAGAAGAGACAAAAATCAAAAGACACGAGAAAACCACAGGGCCAGTGGACTAACAGGCCCCACAAACATCAGTCTCCACCACCCTGACTCCAGAAGGCCTGGATGGTGCCCGGCTGCCACTACCACTGCTCTGAAAGGACTGCATTAGAAGGGCCCGAATAGAGTGAGTGGGTCTTCAGGAGTCCTGGTGGTGCAGTGGGTTACATATTGGGCTATGAACCACAAGGTCAGCAATTCGAACCTGCTCCTTGGGGGAAAGCCAAGGTTTTCTGTTCTCGTAGAGATCGCCAGCCTCAGAAACCCACAGGGGCAGTTCTACCCTGCCCTATAGGGTCGCTGTGAATCAGAACGGACTGGATGGTACTGAGTTTGGTTTGTGGTTTTGGGTTTTGGTTGTTTGCTTTTGAGAAAGTGGGAGGGAAATGTGGAGCAGAACTCAAAATGATCAACAAAATCAGATTGAGGCTGGTGGGACTCTCCTACACCATGGCCCATACCCTTCAGCTTTGGACTTGAACTCACTTCTGTGTTAGATTAATCCACCACCGTTTCAGATCTAAAGGGCAGCACTTCCGCAAGCACAAAGCTCAGAAGGTTAGGGATGAAGGGGGAATGCAAACAGGAAGCACAGGGAGACACGGGATACGTGAGTGCACACTGAAGGGACGGGAAGGGATGAGTTGGCCCAGAATGGGCATGAACTGTTGAATGTAAAACTACAATCTGCTCTGTAACCTTCACCTAATTCACAAGAAAAAGTTCATATATGCAAATATCTTTTAAAACTCAGTTTTCCAAATGCTTTATGTAAGGTTAAAGGCAAACAATTACCACATGTTTCAAGAGATTGGTTAAAGTCATTTTCTAAAGAAACCCTCTTCAGATAAGAGCACCAGTTAATAAATGTAGAATACTATAGTTAGAAATTTCCATTTTACAGTCTTCAGCAAAAATCACAATAAGAACTTAAACCATTAGATGAAAAACTGCTAGACAATAAGATGACTTACAAACTACAATCAGGAAGCCAGGAAGGTGTTCGCCATCTTCATCACCTGGCCAAAAGGAGCATCATTGATGGTGGGCAACCTGAAACTGATCACTTCACATGCAGCACGGTGATCAGCTCAGCATCACTGCAGAAGCATTCTCCCTAAAAACTACTTGTTGCTGTTAGTGCAGTGGGATTGGCTCTGACGCGTAATGCGCAATAGAACAGACACTGCCCATCAGGCTGTGCACCCTCACAACCATCCCTGTGTTTGAGCTACAATCCTCTCACTGGGTCTTCCTCTTTCTTTTTTCAATCATGTTACTGGGGGCTCTCATACCTCTTATCACCATCCATTGTCTCAAGCACCTTTGGACATATGTTGCCATCATCATTTTCTAAACATTTTCTTTCTATTTGAGTCCTTTGTATCAGCTCATTTCCTCCCTCCCTCATGAACCCGATACCTCAATTTTCTGTACTTCCTACAGTGCTCTGGCCACGGGCAAGGCCCCCAGCAGGGTCAACATAGGACATTAAAAGGAGCCACAGGCAATACTGGGGATTATTGAGAAAGGGAATGCCTCTACTCCTACTTGAGTTTAAATCCTTTTTAAAATCAGCTTTCCAATTGCTTGAAACAAAATTGAAGCCATAAAGCTATTAAAGTACCTAACAAGAGATCAATGAACATACTCTTCTTCCGATCTGTCTGGGAAGAAATACAATCAGAATGCTCCTTAGAAACAAAGATGGCAAGACTTCATCTTACATGATTTGGACATGTTACCAGGAATGACCCGACCCTGAAGACGTTTTTCTATTTTTGTGTGGCAATTTTATGAAGTCTATTTTGTAAACATACATCGGTTACACAAGGTACATAAACAGAAGTGCAGGGTATTAAATGGATCAGAAAAATATAACCCATCAATACTTAAACCCATACCCACTGTCATGGAGATTTTGACTGACTTGATACAGGGTGTCTAAAACGAAATTTTTATAGGATCAGGAAGCCTCATTTTCCTCCCTAGGAGGCACTGGTGACTTCAGACCCTACAGTAGCAGACAAATGCCTAAAGGCAGCATCCCAGGGTTCCTAAACAAGTCATCATCGAATCATTAGTCATTGTTCAATATTTAAAATTTAGTACAACGATGACAGCTATCCCCACCCCCAAAATTCTCACTGATGTGTTACTTTTTATGCTTTGTATAAGATTATTACTTCAAAGCCATAAAGTAGCCCGCACTTGCAAAATATTCACCATCAAAACACAGGGACATCACTAAACATTTCTGACTCTCACCCAACTCACCTGTAAACCAGGAGGCTATCTCCTTACTTCCAGAAATGGTGTGGAGGAATCTTCTGACAAGAGGATTTCTCCACGACATTTCTGGAGGCCAATGCAGCTTCGGGATGTGTGGCTCACCAAGGCACTACAAATTCAGTTTTCTGAGAACCAGGAGGAAGGGAAGGGAAAACGGGTATTTATGGCATTTTCTATCACAGAAATATTCAAAGTTAGGGTTACCCTGCCAAAAGCCCAAAGTGAATCGACCCATCTTGCAGAATTCATTAAAAGGTGCAGAAAAAAGGTTATTTCCCTACAATCGGCAGCCATCGTGGAGCCCAGCGTAGACTTCAGAGCATCTAAACAAGTAACTCATGGGCACCGTCTTAGGGATGTCCAAGCTATGACTTAGGGGAAGGGTGGAAAATCGGCAATGAGCAAGCTCCCTAAGGTCAAGGGAGGCAATTTTCTTTATGTAATTTAAGCAATTTCTGTCAAAGTTGCTTTGCATACACTTTTATGGTCACCATTTGCAGTTTCCGAATCTCGAGGGAGAGGGCATCCCGCAATTAAACCCAACCCGGGTCGAATGTTAGCTAAGATCATAAATACATTGTGGTGTTTCTGCCCTCCCTGAAGAAGTTTTTCATGAAGTAGAGGGTCAGGGAAGAAATGGAAGACCCTCAAGGAAATGGACTGACAGTAGCTACAAAACTAAGCTCAAGCCCAGCAGAACTGTAAGCTCAAGCCCAGCAGAACTGTAAGGCTGGTGCAGGGCCGAGCGGTGTCTCATTCTATTGTTTGCAGGGAGCTGTGAGTCAGGAGCAACTTCACAATAACAGTGAGTCTAACATCCCTGTGTGGTACAATCAGTTTACCAACATGTTGGCAATTTGAGCACACTCAGAAGTGCCTCGCAAGAAAGGCCTGGAGATCAGCTTATAATGGGCCACAGCCATGAAAACCCTGGGTTGCAGTTCTACCCTAAACACAGGGCTGTCAATGGAATTGGAATGAACTCATTGGCAAGTGTTGGCTTAGTGAGTCAGCCAACAGATCCCGTTGAACATCCTCAGTATCTATGAACTTGGACTTCACCTCCATGTCAGTCACAGACCTGAGGATGTAGGCCCATCACCCTGCTGCTTGAAGTTCTCCCACATCTACCGCACACTGTTTCATACAACCAAGGATTAGACTCGGTACACAATTTCCTCCACCTTTTCCACTTGGAGAACACTCCATCTCTAATGTCCTCTCTTAGATCCTACAGGATTTCAGCAGGAGCCCTGGTGATGGAGTGGTTCTGTGTTGGGCTACGAACCACAATGTCAGTCTTGGAACCAGCAGCCGCTCCTAGGAAGAAAGATGAGGCTTTCTACTCTCAACAA